AAGGAATTAAGTTTCCATTGCCTTAGGTACGCTATTTTTCGTTAATATTAAATGGAGGAAAACCATACAGACAGTCCTATCATAATAAGCTAAGTTTAGAAAACAGCCATACTCATAAATTAATCAGACATATATCTGTATTTCCTTTAATGTGAGAACACAGAAACAAACGTTAAATGTTTTGTAACCTGAACCTGTGGATTAAATACATAAAATGCTACGACCAAACAATAAACTCTAGTGTCTGTTGTTCTTATGTAACATCCAAATTTATGGGTTTAACGCTTATAAACTAGAACAACGGCTGTAGAATGATAGATAACTTATGTGAAAAGGTGTCGCGAATATTTTTTTTCTCCTTTAATCTGACCTTGAGACAAAGATTATTCTTACATCCACATATTTGTATTGTGACTTATATTATTATTAATGGTAGTAGGGAAGCTAGGTCACGACGTTATTTATTGCCGGATACTTTGAATGATGACGGAACACAGAGAAAAGCCATAATTTCGAAAGTTGATTTTAAAGGTATGTTCTGATTAGAAGATTGGCGCAACTCACTCTTACTTTTCTATTTTGATTTGACCTCGCTCCGTACTAAGATAACCAAATATTGAACACAGCTTTTCTGTTAAGCCTAAAGAAACCAAATCAAGGTTTCTCTTTTGCGAAAACTAGAACTGGACACTGATGCTATCGATTTTAATGTTTTCTGACATCATATGGAATTTGACCGAGTTACAAATGAGTCGTATGATCATCAAGGGAAAATATCTGTTAATAATTAATAGGCAGAGGTTGTGCACATCAGTGGGAAAAAAAAAACTGTCGCGCATGAAGTGTTTGCAATTTTAGTTCATTGGTAGAACGTCGGATAATGTTAACATTTAAAAGACAATTACAGCTTTGCTCTTCTGCTTCTAGTTCTTAAGAAACATTTTTTTAAACTATATTTTTAAAAATTAACAAAATAAATAGAATAAAATAAAACAAAAAAATGAATACGTTAAAACGCACACAGGTCATAATTATTATTTTTTTAATCTGTCTCAAATTTGAGTATTTTGAGCCTAATGAAAAAGTATGGTATTGAATGTTCCCCCATTTCCCCTATTTCCAATTGTGTCAGACTAAGGTACGGATATATATATATATATATATATATAAAGTGGACACCGAGCGCAACACGAAAGTAGCGACAGTCTGTTTCATGCTTGAACGCAATTTTTCATGATGACCTGAAGATTGCGTTCAGACATGAAACAGACTGTCGCTACTTCGTGTTGAGCTCGGTGTCCACTTTATATATATATATATATATATATATATATATATATATATATACAGATTGTTGCCACTCGATGTTGACTTCAGTGCCCACTTTTATATTTGCATACGCTCCTACCGTTATATTTAGCATACTTAGCATACCTTAAAAGTAGATTATCATTACACACACACACACACACACACACACACACACAAACACACACACACACACAAACACACACATGAGATGAGGTATTATGTACACTATTTACATTATTCGGACTATTGTTGCCATATTTATCACAACGTTTCGGCCGTTGTATGCTCCGGCCTTCTTCAGGTGGTTGGAATGTCGAACTGAACCCTTTATTTCGCTCGCTGGGTTAGACTGTTCTAGTTCCACGTGCCATGCCTAATGGATGTCACTTATCAGTTATCTCCTGTTAATTCTCCTCTTCAAGTTCTTCACTCACACTCTTTGGGTCCTGTCACTGGATCTAACTAACGCCTTTATCCACTGTGTCATTTAGGACATCTGTGTGTGAATTTCTGGGTATTATAAACCTAATGTCGCCAGCAACCATTTTTTTTACCAGTGCTCCTATTGCAATTTTTGCTGTTACCATTGCATGTTTTTTTTTTTTTTTTTTTTTTTATACCAGAGCTCATATTGCGATTTTCGTTGTTGTTATCGCTTTTCTTTGGCACTCCCTATTACCGATTCCCATATTTATTCATTTCTATGCTTGGTCGGCTCAGAAGATTTTTGTGTCTACTAATTTTTATACTGATCCTTTCCAGTTGTCTAATCGGTTCCTTGATGTTAAGATGAAATTCCTCAAGGAAGGCCCGAAACCTTTCCTTACCAAAACAACACACCATGACTATAAAATACCAAAAATAGAAAGCTAAACTAGCTCAACAAAAAACACCTAAACCCCTCAACATTTCTTTTTTCAACATTCGTGGAATTCGTACCAATTTCTGCAGTGTGGAATCGTTCCTCTTTGAAAAGTCACCGGACATCCCAGCTCTCTGCGAAACTAATCTTAACGATTCAATCTAATCCTCTGATTTCTCTATTTCTGGCTATCTTCCTATCTTCAAGAAGGACTTTGATGTCCACATGCATGGCCTGGGAGTTTATGTCCGCGAACATCTCCCGATGTCCCCGTCACTCTCTACTTAACTCAGTCAGCTATCTCTTCTTTCTCTATCGTTCACCTTCCTCTCGATACTGTTGCATGCTAGAGAGTACTTCTGATAATAAATACAAGAACATTTTCCTTCACACGTTTGCAAATATATTTGTGTTTGATGATTTTAATGACCACCATTCCAGGTAGATAAAACACTCTGGTACTGACTCCGCTGGCATTCAAACCCTTAACTTCTCAATCTCTCATGCAAGTGCTGGAAATCTCCACGCGTTCTCCCAGTAACACTAACGGATATGTTTCTCTTCTAGATCTCTTTTTTTTTTACCTCTATCCTGGACTATGCAGCTCTGCCCTCTTGGCAGCTATGATCATGCGTTAGTGTCTGTGAACTTCTCTTTTTGCTCCCCTATCAGCCAAGAACCTCCTACCAACTGAATATTTTTGTTATCAAAGAGCGGATTGGAACCCATTCCGTGACTTCCTTCGTGACGTCCCTTGCAATGTAGTTTTTGATCATCCTGTTCACAAATGAGCGTCTGAGGACTCCTTCTGGGTGTAAGTCTGCATCGATGCTTTCATTTCCGCAAGGACATACGAAGTTAAACCGCAATCACCTCCTTTGTTCTCACCAGTACGCTCGACCGCTATAACTCACAGAAATTTTCCGGCTGAATGTCTCATTGTCTCTACTCGTAACGAGTGCAAGTGTGCCCTCAATGAAGCAAAGTTACTGTTTTCTGATAGAATGAAACAACGTATAGCATCTAGCAAGTTCGGTTCTAGAGACTATTGACGGTTATGCAAAGGTTTGCTGAACAACAGCAAATCTTCGATCCCTCCTTTATTCAATCAATTCAAAGTCCTGAAATCTACAACAGATAAGTTTGCATGCTTTGCTCGGAAATTCTCTTCCAACTCAACACTTGACGCATTTGGAGTACCCAAAACTGTTTTCGCCTCTAGATTTGTGTATATCACTCTACCGAGTCTCTAGTCTCGGACATAATTTCTAAATTAAATTCCCATAAGGCAAGTAAAGGTGATGAGATCCCAGTTGTCGTCCTAAAGAAATGTGCTCCCAAGCTGGAACCTGTTTTCTCCAAACTCTATAGCTATTGCCTCGCTGCTTCCTGTTTTCCTGCTTGTTAGAAGTCCTCCTCTGTAGTTCCTGTTTTTAAGAACTCTGGAGAACCTTCTGGTCCCTCTAACTATCGCTTTTTTTTATTCTCCTACCGCCTTTCGGCAAAGTATTCGAAGCTTAATCAATGCTGAAGTAGTTAAGCATCTTACCTCTCACGACCTGCTCTCTAACAAACAATATGGCTTTCGTTTTGCCAGGTCTACCGGCCATTACTGAATATGTATATCAAGCTCTTGATAATGATGGCGAAGCACGAGCAATGGCTGTAGATATCTCGAAGGCGTTTGACAGGGTTTGGCACGCTGGTCTTCTACGTAAACTCCAGGGCTGCCGTATTACTAGAAAAATGTTTGATTTAATCCAATCGTTCCTATCAAATCGTGAAATGAAGGTCGTTTTGAATTGGCTCGCTTCCAGATCTTCTCACACGAATGCGGGGTCCATTCCCCCCCCCAAATAACTGTTGCATTGTGGAACAGACTAACCAGAAGATGCTGGCTCAATCATTACAATCATAATCACTTCAAGTCTAAGATCAAGCCTATCTATCATACACATTCTCATAAAATGCACCTCTTTATCCTTCTCTTTACGCCCTTATAATAGCATTACTTAATAACACTTAATAACACTCTCCCTTCAGTGACTCCTGGGCCTAGTATTGGGTGAACAATAGTGAAAAAAAAAGAAGAAAAAAAAAAGAACTGTTCAAATTATCTTATCCTACTCGGAGTTTCATTTTACAAGCAAATCACTGGTGAATGGATACCACATCCGACAAACTCCGATTAGGGCAAGGTAAGTTGAATATTTAATTTGTTTCCTCCTGTTTTATTATGTTGGTGTGGGATATCAGATACTGACGTTTGTGGTATGGCTGTATAGGTTGAACATTATTCCCAATAACCCATAATATTTTCCCTTAAAGTAAGAGTTAAACAACAGTCTTGTAAAATGGCCCTTGGTACTTATAATGCACAAGTGTAACATTGAATTTTTCCATCCGGTAAAAGATCCCATCCATGGATATTCATCGACGCTTGCTGGACGTTTATGGAGATGAAACAGTGGATGTGAACATAATTAGATGGTAGTTAATACGTTTCAACAGTGATGATAGTAACAGGTGTGCAAAAATGGGTCGTCCTCAGTTGCTGCTGATTTTTACGAGTGCGGTATCGCTGGCGAAAATGAATAGCCAGTGGTGATGATTGTATGGAAAAATAGCGTTTTGAATGCGAGAACCTTCTCCTTTCATTGTGTCCCCTGTATTTGTCGTAGTTTCCGTGGAAAATAAATAGAAGGCATTACTTTCACTTGTGTTACATACCGAAGCCCTAACACATAATTATATTCATATATACGCTAGGAATGTCAATTGACAGGAACATCCCAAAAAGCAATCCGGGTGGAAAGGGGATACATTATCAGCAGGCGGCACTCTCTGGAATGCACCCGGATAATCGATCACCAGATGGAATGGAATGCAAGTACAAAAGAAACAAAAACGAAGAAAGGATGAGAGAAAAAATAGCAAAGAAGGAAAGAAAGAAAGAATTCAGAAAAAAAGGAAATGAAAAGGAAGAAAGAAAGAAAATTAGCAAAGATAGAAAGAATGAAAGAAAAATAGCAAAGAAAGAATGAAAGAAAAACTAGCAAGGGAAGAAAGTCGAGAGGAAAATTAGCAAAGAAAGAAGGAAAGAAAATTAGTAAAGAAAGAATGAATGGAAGTAAAATTTGCGAAGAGAGACAAATAGCAAAGAAATAAAGAATGAAAAAAAAAGAGAGAAAAATAGAAGACAGAAAAACTAACAAAGAAAGAAAGGAAGTAAAAATTAAGAAAGAAAGAAAGAAAGAAAGAAAGAAAAATTAGCGAAAACGAATGAATGAAAATTAGCAAAGAAAAAAGAATGGAAGAAAAAAATCAACAAAGAAAAAAGGAATGAAAGAAAAGATTAGCGAAAAGAAAAAATAGTAAAAACAATGAAATAAGAGATGATTGTAAAATGAAAGATCGAGAAAGAAAACTAGACAAAAACGAAGAGCTATAAAGAAAAATAAAGAGCAAGTGAAATAGGAAAAAGCATAAATGCAACCCCCACCCCACAAAAGAAATAATAACGGTGGTATAAACATTAATAAAATGGAAAAAAAAATCGAAGGAGAATGGAAGAATGAAAAAGAAATAAAGAGGAAGTGAGAATGATAAATGGAGAAAATGAGAAAAAAAAGAATTGCTATAAAAATCAGGCGAGGATAAAGAAAGAAAGAGGAAAGTAAAAGAAATGAAAAGGGCGGCAAAGAAAATAAAAATAAAAATCATTGAGGAAATAAATGAGAGTAAGAAAGAAAAAAAATGAAGGAAAAATGAATAAAAAAAAAAAAATAGAAAGAAAAAAATTTTTTAAAAAAAAAGAAAAAGAATGGAGAGAAAGAAAAAAAAGATAACCGGACTGATACAATGTCTGATGTCAAGTGTGTAATACAAAAGTGGAAAGAACACACACACACACACACACACGCACGCGCGCGCGCACACACACACACACACGCACGCACACGCACGCACATATGGCTGAATGTATATGCACGCCAGTCTTATGTAACTGAGAAATACAAGGTAGGAGTTGAAGGTAAAGCAAATACGAAGTAAGGAAGATATGAGAATAGACAAAGAAAGAGCATTGAGAGTGAGAAAGAATGAAAGATACTTTGTGATAAGGGAGGTTTGAAAGAGTGAGTGCGCGTATTACTGGGAGATACATAGAAAGAATAATAAAAGAGAAAGAAAAAGTGAGAGAAAAATGGAAAGTTACATTGCAAAGAGAGAGAGAGAGAGAAAGAGAGAGAGTGAGAGAAAGAGAGAGAGTGAGAGAAAGAGAGGGAGAGAGAACGAGAGAGAGAGAGGGAGGGGGAGAGATAAAGAGAGAGGGAAAGAGAGAGAGCAAGGGACAGAGAGGGGGAGAGAGAGAAAGAGAGAGAGAGAGGGAGAGAGAGGGAGGGGAAGAGAGAAAGAGAGAGGGAAAGAAAGAGAGCGAGGGAGAGAGAGGGGGAGAGGGAGAGAAAGAGAGAGCGAGGGAGAGAGAGTGGGAGAGAGAGGAGAGAGAGAGAGAGAGAGAGAGAGAGAGAGAGAGAGAGAGAGAGAGAGGTGCCCGATCAGAGGACGGAAAGCGCAAATGAGAAAAGAAAAGATCTTAATAAAATGAATTAAAAATATAAAGAAGGTTAATAAGAGAAGAAAAAGTGAGAGAACAATAATGTGGTAAGTGAAAAGAGCTTAATAATAATGAAATGAAAAGAAAATGATAAAATTAATAGAAAGACAAAGAAGGAAAAAACTACAAAAGAAATAAGAGCGTTCGAATTGAACGAGAGAGAAAGAGATAGATAGATAGAGATAGAGAGATAGAGAGGAGAAAAGCTTAAAAAGAAAAGAAGGAAAAAAGAATAAGAGAAAAAAAATAATACTCTCACGTCATGAATAAAACTGGAAGATTATAATTTCCTCTCATACCCCCTTTTTTCTCTCTGCCACATCGGAATTAAAAAAAAAAATGAAGAAAAACCAGGAAAGCATAAAACTAAAAAGGACGTTATCAGACGGGGAAATTTCCATTGCCTTTTGTTCCCTTTGCCTTTCAAACGTGATCGACATCAATTGTACGAAGCTTTTTCACTTTAATTGCATAAAATATCGATGACGGAGCCAATTACCACAGCTTTAACAGATATAACATTTTATTTGCATAATTTTATTATTAAAAATATTAATTTAGAATTTTATTTTCAGTGACTTAAAAAATGTTATTCAGACTTGCAGCAAAAGTACACAAAAAATCCACTCTTGCGAAGTTAAGCAACACTTTCCTTGGTCAGTCATAAGTGAATATTTCCAAATAACAGCATAGTCTAAAATATGCATAGTTTGCAAGCGTCTCGCTAAAGCAATTATGACAGAATAGTGAATTCGATCCTCACTGGGAGCCCCATACTTTCGGCCTTGTGCTTAGAAAATCATCATAGTTTAAAATTAGAATTGTAGTCGTATTTATAGGATATTACAATTGAACAGTTATTGAGCAAAGTAAGCCGAGATAAGGGTGAGAATCCCCAGTGTGGCTGCAAAGTGAGCACATAACTATTATCATGCTGTCTCCCAACTTATATAAAACTCATAGTAAACACATACTTGATCAGCTCACGTTGGTTGTAAGTGCTGATAATCGTTATTGGGGTCTGCTTGTATAAGTATATACATGTTAGTAAAACGGGAAGATTCAGTTTATCTTATGGAAATATATCTGATTTTACAAACATTGGACAGGCCCTAAAAGGAAAAGATATTTTAATGTGGTTTGAACTAATAAAAAAATCTCAAGAATATATTCTCTTTCACAGTTTCAGAGATCACTTTCGTTGTGTCAATATTTATTAAGCTTAGTGTAATTATGGCCATATCAAGTTGAAACAACAGTTCTCGTCTGATCTCTGAACTTAAGCAACATCGAGTCTTGTTAGTAGCTAGATAGATAACAGCTTAGGAATAAAGGGCGTGGATGTGCGGATAGTGTGATAGATAACTTGGGATGAGAAATCGGAGAGCCGAGTTCGAATTCCAGTTGGGTTCGTTGCATTCACTTACGCACAAGTAACCTTTTCGGTCACTGGCTACAGGTTAAACAGATGGAGGGAGCTGATCCTATAGCCTTCTTGGCAACAAGTCTACCGTTGAAAGTAACGGCAGCCTATTGGGGGAATTCTTCTGTCAAAGCAGTCATGAATCGAAAGAGTCAAGATCGACCAGGCATACATCACACATAGCACCTTCTTCTTTATGAACCGTGTCCCTTCAGGATGTAGACGATTATAGCTCTCCACAGTTTCCTGTCCCTTGCAGTTCTAAATAAATTGTCTTTTCTTTATTTCTAAACCCTGTTCCACCATCCATTTTCTCAAATTCATCAAGTATGTTATACGGTGTTTTTCCTTTGACACTCTTGCACTCCCAATCCGCCCTGTAAGTAACAGATTTTCTAAGCCCTCCTTTCTCATTACGTGTCCCAGACATTTCAACTTCGTCCTGATTTTATATATAAATTTTCATTTTGTTTCCATTTTCTTTAAAACCTCGTCGTTGCTCACATCATCTTCGGTCCGTGGTATCCTCAGCATCCTTCTGTAGAACCACATTTCTGTTGCTTCAAGTCTCTTCTTCATCTTTGAGGAAATTGTCCAGCATTCATTGCCATACAGTAGGATAGATATCGTGTAAAAGTAAAAGCTGGGCAGAGCATTGCGAGACAGGAGGATTTCTTTTGTAACAAAGAAAAGAATATTGAGTTGTTACGTGACATCCGTTCTTCTTTACGGCTGCGAATGTTAGACGATTTCCTCAAAGATGAAGAAGAGACTCAAGGCGACGGCGATAGGGTTCAACAGAAGGATGCTAAGGATATCATGGACCGAGCGTGTGAGCAACGATGAGGTCTTAGAGAGGATACAAACAAGGAAAAGGCTTATACTTAACATCAGAAAGAGACAGCTGAAGTTTCTGGGACATATAATGAGGAAGGAGGGCCTGGAGAATCTGATACTCACAGATCGAATAGAGGGAAAGGGAGACAAGGGAAAGCACCGCATGACATACCTGGCTATCTTAAGCAAGTGGATGACAGAACGTGGTCTGGGGAAGGAAGCAGACGGAAGGAACTTGCTGAGAGCTGCAAGTTATAGAGAGAGGTGGAGAACCATGATTGCCTACGTCTTGAAAGGACATGGCACATAAAAAGAATTTTCTTTGTTTCTAACGAAGTTTTTCTCTCTCTTAATACTCTGCTTAGCTTTTGGAAGGCATCTTTGGCTATCCCAATGCGTCTTTGGATTTCAATGGCGGATTTTCCGAACACTTCCCAGATATTTTTCTGTTTGTTGTTTTTGGTACCTCCGATTTTTAATTTGCATTTTGGGCTAATCCTTTTGCTGATTACCATAAGGAAGGAAAATTAGTCCAGCACAATGCTAGAACAGAGCAATCATTTTTGAGGATCGAAACGCACACATGCTCTGACAGTTAACTTTCGTTATGCTGATATTTATTAAGCTTAGATTAGTCCAGCACAATACTACAACAGTGGGACCAATATTTGAGGAGTAAAGGCTAGACTAACTTGTAAACCATTATTTTATGTCAAACCCTCATAAGCTTTATCATGTGTGGTAATTATCAAAATTATAACAATTTAAAATTGTCATTAAAACACTTCCATAGTATAGGTATATCTATCAAATTATAATTCTGCTTTCCCCTTCTTTAATTAGTAAGTATTTTAGATACACCCTGCCATTAACTCAGAAATATAAGCAATTCCGTTTCACTTGCGAAGAAAAGACGAAGATATCGGAGACACTGTTTGGATTTTTGTCTGGGGTATGACGATAAACTACATCCGGCAGCAAGGCCTCTGATCAGGAGGTTTTGAGGAGCGTGGAACAACCTCTTAATTGCTGTTGTTCTCGGTTCCATCCTGACCCGGGCTGGCAGCGCCTGTTAGGGTCCCAACTATGGGCAAATAGTTAACGCCCATATAGAGGTGAAAAGACTATGGAAGTATAAAAATATATTTTTATAGAAAAAGTACCAGCAATAGATTTTAATAGTAAAAAATAATTACCAAAGCTCACAAGAAAATTAAATTCGGAATTAAAAGACCCATAAGGAGTTGGTATGCTGTTAAAAAACAAACGAACCAAATCTGTTTGATTTTACTGAGGAAAAGAAAGCAAGTATAATAATAATAATAATAATAATAATAATAATAATACTTGCCATTACTTGCTAACGAGACATCACCAAGCACACATACTGAAAAATTCTGTTGACGCCAAATGCAGATTCTGTGATAAATATCCAGAAACAATTGACCATCTTGTATCAGGTTGCACGATATTGGTACGCACTGAATATAAGAGTGGGCCAATATCTGCACTGGAAAATATGCAACATTTACGGGAAGGAAACTGCAAGAAATTACTAGGAACATCACCTAGACCCAGTTACAGAGATAGGACCGATAACAATTTTATAGTCCTTTACAATACACACAGAGAGAGCAATCAAATCTAATCGCCCAGACATCGTGATCAAATACCACAAGAACAGAATATGCCTTCTTATTGACATGGCAATGCCTACAGATTGTAAAGTATCTTTGAAGATCTCCAAAAAATTATCAAAATACAAGGATCTTGAAGTGGAGATCTAAAAAATGTGGCCGATGAGAACATTATTAATTCCAGTTGTAATTGCAGTCCTCGGGTTGATTGGAAAAAGGTCCGATAGACTCATTGAAGAGATTCCTGGTAGTCCATGTCATAAAGAAATACAAAAAATTGTACTCACAATTACAGATCAGAACCTTACGAAGAGCTTTATGTATATAAAATGTGCGTGATCCTAGGTTTCCTTTTTTTTTTTTTTGAAGAGTGGAAAATGTTATGAAGCCATTTCTGACCTTAGGTCGCTGTTTTCTGGTTGGAAATCTGTATACAACAATAGAAAATTCAAATAGCAAAAACTGTAAAATTGTCATGGGTAATGCTATTTAATCTTCAAATTTCATTAAGATCATATGTTGGGTGCAATATTTATGAACGTGGATATTGAAGAACCAATTGTGTTAGATATTTCTTGATCTGCCGTCAGAATTCACGAAACAAGATTAAACAATTTAAAATATAAAAGTGGGCACTGAAGTCAACATCAAGTGGTGACACTCTGTATATATATATATATATATATATATATATATATATCGCTTTCAATGCTATTTTTAGTGGATACCCATATTTGAGTAGACGCTCCGTTTATGTTTTTAAATAGTATTTTATTTTCGTCTACCGAACAATATCTTTAAAGAAAATATGCTATTTGTGGATGAGACTGTAAAAAGCACGTCGGATCCAAAGAGGGTTTCTCAACTAAAGGGGGATGGAGGTTCGAATCAGTTTATAGTTATTATTATTATTTTTTTTTAGCGATTTATGATTGTGAAAAAGGGTCTGAACTGAATATTTTTCTGGTCGCCCAAGCTTTAAAGCAAATATAAAAATTGTAATCACAAGTACAGCTCACACCTGTATATAAAATGTGCGTGAACTAGGGTTTTTTTTTTTGTTTTTTTAAATTTGGGGAAAATGTCATGGAGCCATTTCTGACCTTAGGTCATTGGTTTCTTTGCAGTTTCTATTTTCCTAATTATTTTCCAGTTACTCACATTACTTCTGTAGCGAGTTCCATCCTCACTGGATTCTGCGCACTTGGGATCATGTGATGTAGGATAATAAACTCAGTAAATGAGGCGTCCTATTGTGGATCAGGGATAAGCATGTTTGCTTAATACTATTGCGAATTCGAGTCGCACTGGGCACCAAACACTTGTGGATTTGTGTCCCGTTAAGTAGTAACCGTTTGCAAGAATTCTATAATCACTGTATGAAAGCGAGGCATCCCTAATAATGTAATTATTCACACGAACTAGATTAAGAGTTCTCGACATTATCGCTTCCTGAAAGACGGTCGCCATCACCGAATATTGATTTGTAGGCAAGATGTTGTAAGTGTAGCAAGTTGTCCAGGCAAAACATCAGGCTTGTTTGTCAATGAATAATGAGCTAGAAATGCCAATGTTTTCCTATAACATTGATTCCCTTTAATGGCACTCAATAAAGCGGCTTTGTTCTGTTCAATTGTTCGATATGCATGTCATATATAAAGAGGTAGAGTGTAGGGTGGAAAACGAATGGAGATTAGAAAAAAAAATGTAACGTGCGGAAATTATATGAGAAGTTTATGAAAAAAATCGAGAGATTACATAAAAAATAAAAGAGAAAGATAAGAAGTGAGTAAGAGACTGAGGGAGAAAGAGAAGAAATATTCAGAAAAAAAGATAAGAACAGATAGATAAAAAAAGGGCAGTTAGAGAAAAGAGTGGCCCTTTTAAAAATAATGGAAAAATATAGAGAGTATGTGAAAGTGAGGGGAATTAATTTAGAGAAAAGGAAGAGACAATATATAGACATAGGTAAAAAAGCGATGGACAGAAACGGGGTTATTTGAAAGGTGACGGAAAAGATAGATAGATAGATAGATAGATAGATAGATAGAGAGAGAGAGAGGGGGGGTAGCGGGGGAGAGACAGACAGACAGATAGATAGATAAATAGATAGACGAAAAGAATTTAGAGGAAAAGAATATGCTATAATTACAGATAAGTAAAAAGGAGAGAGAGAGAGAGATTAGGAAATTGATGATGGTGAGATAGATAGATAGATAGATAGAGAGAGAGAGAGAGAGAGAGAGAGAGAGGGGAGGAGGTAGAGAGAGAGACAGATAGATAGATAGACGAAAAGAATTTAGAGGAAAAGAATATGCTTAATTACAGATAAGTAAAAAGGAGAGAGAGAGAGAGAGATAAAGAAACATTAGGAAATTGATGGTGGTGATATATATATATATATATATATATAGAGAGAGAGAGAGAGAGAGAGAAAGAAAGAAAGAGAGAGATGCAAAGAATGTAGTGAAAAAATAAACCATAATTACAGATACCTAAAAAGGCCAGGTAGAGAAAAGGAAGCATTATAATAGATAGATAGATAGATAGATAGATAGATAGATAGATAGTGTGCGTGTGTGAGTGTGCATATCTGTGCGTGTGTATGTATGTGAGTGTGTGTGTTCAGAGGAAAAAGAAAGGACAAGAAGAACAGATAGGGGGAGAAAGAGGGACATTTTAAAAATAATAGAAAAGAAAGAAAGCATTAGATGTGGGGAGAAGGAAAGATAGAAAGCATGAAGAAGGAAACACGAGCAGGAGAAAAAGGAAAGATAAATAGAACTGAACGAAGAAAAAAAAAAGAATGAAACGGAGTAAAAGATAGCAAAGATTGTAGAATAAGAGACACAGAAAGAGAGAGATAGAGGGAGAGGGAGAGAGCGATCGAGAGAAGGAGAGAGAGAAAATAAAATGAAATAAAGAAAGTGAAATTGTGTGAAGGGACAACGAAAGTATGAAAAGAAAGAAGGGAAATGAAGCATAAGACGAGGAAGAAGAAATATGGTTGAAAGGAGTAAAATCTAGTGAGAGTGAGGGGAGAGTCTAGCCACAAAAGAAAGGAGAAAGAACGGAGTATGTGAGAAGAGCGTTTTATGAATATAGAGATTATGTAAGTTGGCAAAGCAAACATCGGCACAAATGGATTGTGGAGCGGGGAGGGGTAATGGAACGCGTGATTACATCATGACACCAGTGCGATGAAAGATCAATACAAAAGCAAAAGGAATAAAAAAAAGGAAATATATTGGTTTGTGTAATGGCTGAAAAGGCCGGTAGAATAGAATATCACGCAACTTTTTTCCAGACCTTCCATTATTTGCTCATTCATCTTTGGCTTTCATTTCATTCTGCATTAATTGCTGTTCATTTTTTTTCTTATTTCATTTATCCCCGTTAAAATATTTTTTTTCTTTGATTCAATTTATTCTTTATTTAATCTTTGCAAATTTCATTCTTCTTTAAACTCTTAATTTCAACCCCTTTTCTATTTTCCCCTCTTCATTCCGACTTTATCTTTTGCTCATTTTTTACTCCTATTTCTTTCATTTTGTCTTTCATTCTGTATATCATCTCATTTATACATTTTTTACAAAATTTTCCCTAAGTTCAATTTTTAAGCATTACTTTTCGTCTTCAGTTTTTGTATATCTATTTTTCTCAATTTATTTCTTTTCTTTAATTTTTCTTATTCTTCCAATTTCCTATTTTTATCTGATACTTTTTCTATTTTATTTTAGTGCTCTTTTTCATTTTCGACTCAAACTATTCCATTTATAATTCTTCAGTTTAATTTTTACTTTTTGTCTTTCCCATAACTTAATTTTCTTTTACTTCTTTTCTTTTTTCTTCATTAGTTAAGTTAAAGAATCTCCACACATTATATGACACTCGGCATGTCACTGCTTTTTATTCATTCCTTCTTTTCCATTGTTTCTCTTTTTTCATTTCTCCTTCTTTCCTTTCTTTTGCTTTACTTTTCTTTTTCTTCTTTTCTTCCCTTAAAATTCCATTGGTGGAATTTTCTTTTATCTTATGAAAGGACAAGCCTCCATTTCAGATCGTAAGTGATGCTAAGGTGATATTGCCAAACGGAATGCAACAGCAGAGGATATGGCGGAAGGCAGCGCATGCGTCTAAGCCTTCTAGCTTGGCGTCAGACTAACGGAGTCACCGGAAGAGAATCTGAGTTCAACCAGTCAACAAAATAACGGTCTTGATATCAACAAGCAAGACAATAAATCAAGAAATTTTCGTCATCGGAATTAATATATATATATATATATATATATATATATGTGTATATAAATAAAAAGAAAGAACAGTAAGATATATAATTCGGTGTTCTTATAGATATTTTTATTTTTACAAAATAGTGCTCGATGTAAATTTACAGAGCATTAATATTATAAATTAATTGGTTTTAAATATGTTTTTTTTTCGTTACACAGTTCTAACCATGTTTCAAAAATGGAAGCTAAAAGCCCCGAATTTAATTTTGTAATTAAATTAAAGACATTAGTTCCATTTCATCCTCAAGCGAATTTTGGAGTAACTTTTAAAATTACTGGGTTTTAAATACACAGCTAAAAAAACTACGTTCTTTTTTTTTTTTTTTTTTTTTTAAATTTTTAAATCAATTAATTTATTATATATACACAGGGTGGGGCAATAAAGTCACTATGCAGTTACTTACAATAACAATTAAGACAAAAAGCATATATATATATATATATATATAGTTTGTGTGTGTATATATATATAGTACGTGTGTATTTTAGCAGCAAATCCATTTTTTTCATATTTAATTGAAAACCACGGAAATATTTTTGAGAATTTTCTTAATATAATTTTTCTTGTTTCTTTGTTTTTATTACTCCAATTATTTTTATCCAGTTTGGGTATCTTCAGGAATTAATGCTTTTTAAATCGGGGAACTCGTTTCCTTCTTCCGGCATCTTATTTTGGTATTTTTAGCGTTATATTTTGAATATGATTTTATAATGTCATTGTAACCTCATATTCTGAGCTTAAATTTTATAAAATATTCGAATAGTTTTACAAGAGTGCTAATATTCTGTTTTTTTTTTTTTAAAAAAGCAAATTTAAATTATAAAGATCATTATCTATCTATCTATCTATCTATCTATCTATATGCAAATTTACCTCGACCAAACGCTGTCTCGGGAGATAGGTTCTTGAAACCTCTTATTCATTTATTTATTCACAATTAATGCTGTTTCTTAATATCGAGCAGTTTATGTACAAAATCTGCTCGACGTAATTCTCCACCCTGGAGTAATTTAGTGGTCAACGATTTTTTTAGGCGTAAAAACCTATCTATTTATCTATGGATTCTAGTAATATTCGACAATATTTGTCGTGTCACCAGAAAAAAAGTCAAAAATGATTTGTTAACTTTTAAAATGAAAATTTGTAATAACGGACTCAACGAACTTACTACTTGAGAGAGGATCCTTCAGTCTTCACTTGTCCTTCCTATTTTAGTAAATTCTGTAGTATTTTAAAATTTGGGCTATGACTCCAGGTTATTTTCCAATTTATTACTTTAAACTGAACAGAGACGGAATTATGCCCGACAGAAAAAGAAAAAAAATAACAAACAAACACAAAAAACATAAGCTTATCTACCATCAGCTCCCAAAATAGATTGGTATGAATCAGAAGATTAATCATTTCTTTTTGTTGACCAACCATGCTACAGATATCGATAGACTGCTAATAAATCGATATTCTGTATGTTTAAATACATTTGATCTTTTATATCGATTTTACAGAAGTTTCTTTCTACGATATTTTGAAAGTAGCATTCATCATAAAGAAAGAAAACATTCTTAACATTTTTCAAATCTCTGGTCAGTAAAATGAAAACAATTTTTAAAAACATTTATGATTGCAGCTTGCGTATTCAGGCAGTTAAGTTATTATATTTTTCCAGTTATCTTGATCTAACCGGAGTAGAGGTATCATGAATCTTATGACCAAACACACCGATTATAAAAGTTAACTACATTAGCTTTGAGCATTTCTTACCTGGCATAACAAACCCAACGCGCCATTTTTACATTGATGTTCACCCTTGTTATAGTGGAACACACCTATTCTATTGTTAATAGACTCTCCCACCTATAATAAGTAGAAGAAGTAGCAGTCGCTAAGGGGCTCAGTGAGTTGGTTCGAGTTCAGTCTGAAGTCGGACGACCGGCTGATCGGTTGAACTCTCTGCCTTCGGGCGGGGATGAACCCGAACGAGGCTACGCTGAAGGGTGGAGTCTCGTTAGGGGAGGTAAACCGGCCCTGATCCCGTTTATAGGAGTTCAATGGGCATATTTTTTGGGCCGAGCCCACGGGCTCGGAGAACCCACAATAAATAATCGACCTTGTGTCACATGATGCCCCAATGGGGGCGGGGGTGACTGAATATCCTCAGTGATTTGGTCCGTGTTCAGTCTGAATTCGGACGACCGGCTGACCGTTTGAACTCTCTGCCTTCGGGCGGGGAGGAACCCGAACGAGGCTACGCCGAAGGGCGGATTCTCTTTCGGGGAGGTAAACCGACCCTGAACCCGTTTATACGGGTTCAATGGGCATATTTTTGGCCGAGCCCACGGGCTCGGAGATCCCACATTAAACCGGCCTTGTGTCACATGACGCCCTCGTGGTGGGGGTGACTGAATATCCTCAGTGAGTTGGTCAGTCAGTCGATGTCAGACGACCGTTAGTTGGATACTAAAAGTATCAGCGACCATCACTAGATTTCTCTGCGTCATTACCTATTATATGAAGTTTCTAACATTTTGTACGTCGAACCTATTTTACTTTTTACTTAGTGAAATACAAGCCTCCACTGTGAAACTACTCTACAACAACCCTGTACAAGGCTCGGGAGCTACTCGAGGTAGAGGATTACAGAGTAAGTGGCACATTTTATGCGGATGTGTGGGAAGTTAACGGTTATCTCTAGACTTGAATAAGCTAAGATTGTCAGTCAGTTATGTGTCATGCGTGATGCACGCTTAGGCGATCATGTATCTTTCGATACATGACTGACGAAGCAGTTTTTTCGCGCAGTAGGTTGCTATTTCTTTCTTCAGTAGACCAGTTGCCAACCCGGTCTGTTCTGCTATTTACCCATAGCTGGGAGGAGAGGAAGAGGATTCATATATTTCCCAAGGGTATTAGCACGTAAGTGAATATAATGGATTCGAACTCGGCTCTCCGATTCCTCAATCCGAGCCGCTATCCATTACTCCACCGTGCCTCCTTGCGTCGGTTTCACAAAGCAGCGGTTCATGGGAAGCATTTTCATCTCACCAATGGAATACGATGGTAGTTCGCTACAATGTGTGTAGGATGGCGAGCCTTAGCTGAGTACTGGTGGGACTAAGGAATATATTTCGTCTGAGCACTTTTCCATAGAGCAGTGAGAAGCTTAAGAGTTTTCGTCTGTGAGAAAGGGTGAAAAATAATTTGTCACCCAGAAGGACTCTATCGAGACTGGAAAGTGAAGACTGGGCATTTCTTGCTCATATATGTCAGGAGTACCCCATTTTAGGCGTAATCTGGCTCTTGTAAAGGAAAGCAGGAGGAGTCAGGTACTGACCTGAGCAGTACAGAAAACCGATCGTTTTCCCAGTTTCTTTAGCGATGGATCGTATGTACCAGCTTGACTTGAGGTTTGGATTGATTTTAAGACCCAATTAAGGCTCGAGGTCTTCACGAAAGGGCATCCATTCATCATGATTGGGGAGATAAGTGATTCTGTTCTGCATGAAAAAAAAAATGATGGTCTTTTTTTATTATCTTTTCTTGAACATGATTTGAAGATAAATATTTATATGAGTTAGAATTATTTAGCGAACTGTCCAGTCTCGGACTGTCAGTCAGTTATGTGTCATGCGTGATACACGCTTGGGCGATCATGACTGACGAGGCAGATTTTTTTTCTGCAGTAAGTTGCCATTTTTTTCTGCGGTAGACCAGTTGCCATCCAAGGCTATAGAACCCGGTCTATCCTTCTATTTACTCATAGCAGGGGGGGACGGGAGAAGAAGAGTATTCATACCTTTCCTAAGAGTATCAGCACGTAAGTGAATATAATGGATTAGAATG